ACAGAAGGTTTCCTCTTGACGACCGGCAAGGATGCGCTCATCAAGCTCTGGGATCTCTCATCACGGCATTGTATCGAGACCCATGTGGCACAGAACAGCGGCGAGTGCTGGGCGCTCGGTGTTTCGCCTGACCTGAGCGGGTGCGTCACAGCGGGTAACGACGGCGAGATGAGGGTATGGGCTTTGGATGTAGCAGGACTCGCTTCGTCAGCACGCAAGGTCGATCTCTCGCAAGCAATCAACTTCCTCCACGACCGCGGCACACTACACCGTTCGAGCAAAGAAAGGGCCGCCGAGGTCATCTTCCACCCCCGTCGCGACTATTTTGCGGTACATGGCGTCGAGAAGTCTGTCGAGATTTGGAGGATACGAAACGAATCCGAAATCAAGAAGAGCTTGGCAAGGAAGCGCAGAAGAAGAAGGGAGCTGGCTGCGAAGAAGGGCAAGAAGGAGGCGGAGGCGGAAGAGGAGGACGACAAGGCCGACGATATCTCAAAAGCAGACATCTCCGACGTCTTTGTGCAGCACGTCATCGTTCGTACAACAGGCAAGGTTCGGTCGGTTGCTTGGGCCCTCAGTCAAGGAACCAAGGACCTCCAGCTCCTTGTTGGTGGCACAAACAACCTGCTCGAGACATATACGATTGTTGGAAAGGACAAGCTCAAGTCCAAGGGTGATGCGCCAGACTACAACAAAGCCCTTGCGGTAGAGCTTCCCGGACACCGAACAGACATTCGTGCCCTCTCCATCAGCTCAGACGACAAGATGCTGGCTTCGGCAGCGAACGGCTCGCTCAAGATCTGGAACATCAAGACCAACACATGCATCAGGACATTTGAGTGCGGCTACGCTCTCTGCTGTTCCTTCCTGCCCGGCGACAAGGTCGTTGTGGTTGGAACCAAGGAGGGCGAGCTTCAGCTTTACGATGTGGCTTCGGCATCTCTATTAGAGAGCGTCAATGCCCATGAGGGCCATGCTATCTGGTCACTACAAGTCCACCCCGACGGCAAGTCCGTTGTGTCTGGTGGTGCTGACAAGACGGCCAAATTCTGGGACTTCAAGATCGTTCAGGAACAAGTTCTTGGCACCTCAAGAACAACCCCTAAGCTCAAGCTTGTCCAGTCCAAGATTCTCAAGGTATCGGACGATATCCTGAGTCTAACGTTCTCCCCCGACGCGAAGCTGCTTGCCGTCGCTCTTCTCGACAGCACCGTCAAGGTCTTCTTCGTCGACTCCCTCAAGCTTTACCTCAACCTTTACGGCCACAAGCTGCCCGTCCTCAGCATGGACATCTCCTACGACAACAAGCTTATCGTCACAAGTTCCGCCGACAAGAATATCAGAATCTGGGGTCTCGATTTCGGTGACTGCCACAAGGCTCTCTTCGGTCACCAGGACTCCATCCTCCAAGTCGCTTTCGTTCCTCACAATTCGGACGGCAACGGCCACCACTTCTTCAGTGCCTCCAAGGACCGCACCATCAAGTACTGGGATGCCGACAAGTTCGAGCAGATCCAGAGAATCGACGGCCATCACGGCGAGATCTGGGCCATTGCCGTCGCCCACAGCGGCCAGTTCCTCATCAGTGCCAGTCACGACAAGAGCATCCGCGTATGGGAGGAGACGGACGAGCAGATCTTCCTCGAGGAAGAGCGTGAGAAGGAGATCGAAGAGCTGTACGAGAGTACGCTCACCACCTCGCTCGAGCAAGACCCCGACGCCGCGGACGAGAACCGCGAAGTCGGTGCCGCGTCCAAGCAGACGGTCGAGACGCTCATGGCCGGTGAGCGAATCGCCGAGGCGCTCGAGCTCGGCATGGCCGACCTCAACGCCATCAAGGAGTGGGAGGAGGCCAAGCAGCAGAACCCCAACGTGGCGCCGCCGCAGCGCAACGTGCTCTTCATGGCGCTCGGCAACATCAGCGCCGAGCAGCACGTCATGAATGTGCTGCAGAAGATCAAGGCGTCTGCCCTGCACGACGCCCTGCTCGTTCTGCCCTTCGCCACCGTTCCCATGCTCTTCACCTTCCTCAACATCTTTGCCATGCGCTCCATGAACATCCCGCTTACTTGCCGCATCCTGTTCTTCATGCTCAAGACCCACCACAAGCAGATCGTGGCGAGCAAGACGATGCGCGCCATGTTGGATGGCATCCGCACCAACTTGCGTGGCGCCCTCAAGCGCCAGAAGGACGAGATGGGATACAACATTGCGGCGCTCAAGGTCGTGGGCATGCAGTTGCAGCATAAGAGCGTGAAGGATTATGTTGATGAGAAGTGGGAGGAGGAGAACGAGGAGAATAAGGCGATCAAGAAGCGTGCTTTTGTGCATGTTTCTTAAGTCCTGAATCGTCGGTGTTGATAAACGTAAGCGTCATCAAGATGGGCGGCGGACAGAGGAAGGGTATTGTAGGCAGAAGGAGTAGATGGCTCTGAAATCTGTGCAGCACATACATAACATACATACCATGTCTGACATAGAGAAGAGAAGGGGTGGACGGGTGTTGATGCCACTCCTCTCGTATGGTAAAATAGGGCAACTTTTCTCATCTTCGGAGTTGGAATTTAGTTAAAACGGCATTTGCATATTTCTTCATTCCCTATGATCTCCCGCATTGCATTCTCTAATTTCTGCTAATATCAGTTCCGTCTTCGTGTTGGAGCAACCTATCGTCCATCACCCTTTTCCCTCCCATTGTCATCCCCATCCTCCGTCTTCTCCTCAAAAACCACCTCTGGCCGTCCTCAACCTAAATATAACCCCCCTCCTTCCCTTCCATCCCATCCCTCAAATTACCTCCAAACCCTCACAATCTGCAACTTCTCCCAACCCGCCTGCTTCCCACTAGTCCCCACCGTCTCCGCCTTCCATCCCTCGCCCTCTCCCATCCCCTCCCCCTCACCAGCACTCGTACCAGCACCCATAGCTCGAATCCTCCCCTTAACCTCCTCGGGCTTATTCTGCGCACAAAGCAAAATATACGCCACCCCGCGCGCGCTCAACACCCTTGGCAACGCCTCAATTAGTCTATCCGTGGTCTCCATCCCATCTTTCCCCCCCGCATACGTCAGCTCCAACAAATGCGAGTCCTCTTCAAACGTCGTTTTCTCTCTCAACTCCTGCAGCGGCGCGGCCGGAGGCGACGGGAGCTCGGGGGTCGGGACGTAAGGCGGGTTAAACACCAATACGTCCACCGACCCGCCGCGAAGGGGGGTGACAAGATCGCCTTGGATTGGTGATGTCCAATGTCCCGAGGTGGAAGTGTTTTCAGTGATAGCTTTGCGCACGGTGAGGTCGGTGGCGGCGCAAGCAAATGGGGATACATCAATTGCGGTTGTGAGCACGTGAGGGGTGCCGAAGATGGTGGAGGCGTGGGCGGTTAGGAAGGCGATTACTACGCCGGAGCCCGGGCCGACTTCGAGGATTAAAGGGGCGCCGGGGTTGGGGGGAGGAGGGGGAAGAAGGGGTGGGAGAAGAAAAACGGGATGAGAGAAAGGCGGTTTCGGAGGGGGACGAAAGCGTGTCGAGTAGCAGGAAGGAGTCCTCGGCTGGCTCGTAGACGCGGTTGTAGGGCACGTGGGAGGTGTCGGGTGTTGGGAGCATGGTGGCGGCGTTTGGTGGGTGTATTCCTTATGTGATTGTTGATGTTGGTTGGTTGGTTAAATAGGTGACCGGTAGAGGTATTGTTCTTCTTGACCGAAATATGTTTCGCAGAAGGTTCAAGAATTGAAACAATCAGATGTCGATGTTTGGCGACAACAACGTTGAGGATTGCTTCAATTTTTGACCAGTTTAGGTAAGGTAGGTCGTTTTGCACCGCTGACTGAAAGAATCAGAATTTTTCACGCAGTTCCCTTTTAGTTTCGGATAAATGCTCGCTTGGCCTTGGCACGTGATAAGAGTTGTGTGCGTGTGTGAAAGTAAAGACGGAAAGAACGACCAGCCGAGTAAGTCACTCTCTTCACAAGGCATCATGAAAAGAAAAAGAATACTTGCGTCAATATTATTAAACCTGAATTTGCAAAAGGACTCGGCATTTTATCGTCGACTCGTAAAACCAATGTAATTCCGATTCAAACAACACATCCTAGCCCAAACCACTATCTCCAAGCTCCTCAACCTCACTCACAACTTACATCCTTCTTCACCTTCTTCACGTTCTTCACCTTCTTAACCCACACCCTTCTCCTCCAGTCATACTCCCACACCTTATTCTCTCTACATACCTTACACGGAACCGGCGCATTGTCATTTGGATAAGGTGGTACCATTACCAGACCCGGTAAGACTTTGGAGATGATGGAGGCGCCCAGGCTCAGGCTCGGAACAACCTGCTCATAAGTTCTGCCTTTATGGGAGGTGTGTCCGCAGAGGAAGGTAATGGGGACTTCTCCTCCTCGGTGTGGGGTGGCGATGGCGATGGCGTATGTGTCGGGGGCGGACATCTTGCTGAAAGTCGGGACTCGGGAGAAGGAAAGATGTGGTGGATTCTTGATAGTGTGTGGTTCTGGTGTTGTTAACTGCATGCAGTGGGTATACCGAGGAGGGAAGGGTTGATCGGGTCTATGGAAGATTTATATTGGTATTGGAGCCCGAAGGTGTGGTTTACTTATGCGGAAGTGGAATCGGTGGAAGAAATGCAAACTGTAATGATGCAAAACTATCTGTTGAAGCGAGGAGTGACCAACAGAAATCTACCAGATGGTTCCCAAATGTTGATCAGGTTTGGGGTTTTGATGATACTGAAACTCCTGAAAACAGAACATCACGTTTTACCTAGCACTGATATGATCACAGACCTACTGATGACACCAAACAACCCCTCTAGATATGCCTCAAGATTTTCCTACGAACTGAACTGAGCCATCGTACTCCTGTCTTGAGCGGCCTCGGTCCCTTCGACTTCCATCTGTTTGCCTGTCTAGGTCTTGGTCGTGAAAGCAGTAAGTTTCATGATGCATGCATGCATCATGATGCGCATTAGTTTGCCCTCGTTGGCCATTATCAAACCGCTGTTCTATTCATACTTCATAGCTATACAACTCATTCTCCTTCCATCATCACCCTAGAGCTCCATTCATCACATAGTAGTAGCCTGCGACACCGCCCCCTCCTCCCCTTCCTCCTCCTCATCATGAATCGGGCTCTCTGTATCGTCAATAGCCGTGTCATCCTTATCATCGTCCAACCCGCCCGTAAGTTTCCTTAGCATGAGCTCTATCCTCCTCGTACTCTGCTCCAAAGCCTCCAGCCTCGCGGTGATAGCGCTCATCTCGTCACTCTCGCTCAACACGCCCTGCAACTCCGCCCTCAGGCCTGGGAACGGGGCGATGCTGTCGCGACGACTAGGTGGCTGTTTCTTGTTCGTGTTTGTGTCTTTGGCCAGTGGCTTGGGAAGTGCTTCCACCGTGTTTCCACGAACGAACTGTCGTCGGATCAAATGTTTCGTGAGGTAGTCGTCGGCGGCGATTTGCTCAAGCACGGAATCCGGTGGCGGGACTTCGAAAACGGTCTCTATGTCGCTGTGCACGGTGATGCGCCACTTGTTCCAGAAGCGCACGCCTTTGCCTTTGGTACGTCGGGGGTTCGAGGAGGAGGTGGAAGAGGAGCATGAGTTGACTGATGGCCTCTCTGCTGGTGTTTCTGCTGGCGAGGTGATAGGGGGTAGAACGCGACGCTCGACCAGGGCGATCACGAGCAGGAGAGGAAGATTAAGGAATCGCACGCTCGCGACGTGAATTTTGTGGAACCAGCGCGGGGTAACGAACCATTTGAGGGGGATGAGGACGAAGACGGCGAGTATGTTGAAGGGGGGTTGGTAAGCGAATATGGCGTCGCCTTTGACTCCTTCAAGGGTCAGCACGGCATGGCGGAACTGGATTTCGGCGGTTGCGTTGCTGACGATGGTGCTGAAGGTGTTTGAAAGCATCGACACAAGGATAGTGAGGAATAGTGTGTTGCCGAGGAAGGCGAACATGACCATTAGGGCTGGTCCTAGATATTTGTGGAAGTCGATCTAATCTTGTGTTAGACTACATCCCAGACCATGTAGGCATAAGAGGGAGAGACCTACCGAATGGTGGATGCCCGATCCATCGAGCCCGAACCAAATGTAAATCATCCATTTACTGATTGTCCTATAGAGGAGTTAGTGAATGATAAGAACAGTGGCCCGAAACGAGACTTACACCCAAGAGAACTGATGGTTTCCAAGCCAAACAAGGGACAACAGGAATCCGAAGAAACACCTATGAAGATGTTAGCACATGAGAACGGTAACATTACAAGCACAACAGCTTACCAGCCAGCTAGCACAGTAAGTAGAGAAAAGTCGGCCATCATGGACCGAAGGGACAGGAAAAGAATGTTGTCGGAGAGCAAATTGAACGCCAAGCGAGGAATAAGCACCGGTGCGCCCATAGCCAGCACGTCAAGAGCTTGTTGTCCTAGCTCCTGGTCATGAGTTTGCCATCCGTATACACGCAGGATAAGGTAGACCCAGTAGATGGAAGCGAACGTGACATCGAGGAACGACCACAAATTTTGAGTGTACACATGCCTGTGGACGAGTTAATGGGACGTCTCTTTTTTTGAAGGAGCGACGAAGAAGTGTTTACGTACCAGCCATGTTCAAGGATTGTTGCAAACTGATCGAGTACCCAGCCGAAGGCATACACCGTGAAGCAGACTTCCAGTGTGGTTACACGACCTGCCTCTCTTTCGGACATGAATGCAAGATAGAGCGCCAGAAGGATGATGAACTGGATGATTTCCAAGATATTCCGCGTCCTCGGTACGATCAGACGGTACTGATTCAACAAAGGCGCATCCCTAGGGTCATACAAAGATATTGGCTTCTGCTTGTATCGATCAGGGATCAGGTCCAGGAAACTGGAAGGACTGTAGATAACCCGTCCCTCATAGATGGCGTCCACACTACTCTTATGTCAGCCCTCATGCCCACTGAGTCCGTAAGACTTCGTTCTCATAACTTACATTTTCTGGCATGATGTCGAGCTCAAAAAGATCTTAGCCTCACTCAAGATGGCCACCTCAAGAGCAGGCAGCGTTTTATGCCATGCGGTCGGGGCATGTACCTCCTGACGAATCTCTGGCGGGGCATTCTGGAACGGCTCAAAGCCAGCAATAAGAATCTGCGCCAGCACCAACAGACCTTCTGGGCCCTCGTAATGCTCATTGTATCTCCGGAGGATACGGGTGGCTATTAGTTCACATAGCATGGCGCGTGTGTAGTTGACATTTTGCCGATTGTTGAGATGAGACTGCTCGTTCAGGAACTGCGCGCGGTTGACCAGCAAGCAATAGACTATCGAGATGTCGTCTTGCTCATAGAACTTGTCCACCAGTGGCCGGACGACGGATATGTTGATGCGGACATCGCGGAGTTGATCCAGGCTCAGATAGTCCTCCACCACCGAGATGATATCCCGACGGATCCGATGGATGTTGGTGTAAACTGGTAGTTGGGTGTGGTTGTCCCAACAAGTGTATGCTTGGCCGTCAAGTGAGTGAAATTGGTGGCCATCTTGAGTTCCGGTTGTCGTTGTCCGTCGAGGCAGAAGAGGTCTTCTTTCTTCCAGATCGGGTTCCTGGATGCGGAGCGCGCGCTGGTGTCGACGGCCCGACTGATCCCCCATCACCATGCCTTTTCCCGGCCAGTCGTTTTAGCGTTCGATATCAAGGACAGGACCGGTCTGATGTCCACAACTGATATTTTAGACGAAAGTGAGTTTCGGTCCTTTGTTCTTCTCTTCAAGATAGTTTGGAGGAGTCGGTCGAGTCAGGCGATGCTTAATCAGATGAACGTTTCATCTAATGGCAGTCGTCTAGGTGATCTGCACCAAATGAGACCGGTGGTAGTTTGTTTTTGCGACGAAAGTAAATCAATAAAGTTGGTTGCGCGGAGGAGGCAAAGGGGGTGCTTATGATACGCGGCTTGCATAAAACGACGCCTTAGGAATATGTGGTACAATGTGAGACACGGGGCAGACGGGGTCGACGATGACTTGAATGAAGGATGATTAAAGTGTAGAAAAGATAAAGTTGTAAGTACCCTCGCGTCTTTATCGTGAGGGTCCTGGGACATCCATGAAAGAGAGCGGCTCCATCAAATGACGATGAAACAAGACCGGTTGGTTCCACCCATTCACAAGCGACGGACGGCAGGGCGAGACTCCAGACATGGAAGCTTGCCGAGCTTGGGACATGCACCCCACATCCAAGCTTGAACATCCAGAGCCTCAAAGCCTCGATTGGTGCGTATCGGGGTTCTTATCTGTTAGGCGCTGGTGGCTTCAAACAGCGGGCACTGGGTGCTTATCGGCTATGTACTTAACAAAGGAATGTGGGGTGTACACTCAAAACCCCATTAAGCTGCTATCATTCAAGCTCGCCAGCAGCTTTCGTCATACAAGCAACGAAATAGCTTCAAGCCCCTCCTCACCTTCGTAGGATATTTGCCTTTGCCAATTCAAACAGATGCTGTTCATAGTAACATCTGTCAAACTGGGGAACATGTAGTCAAGTAGTACATCCGATTGAAACTCGTCAAGGTAACATGGAGGAAGTTCCACGTTCTTGAGAGGACCGGTGCGAGCTGACCTGCTGAAGCCTACAACGCTCCTCCCCAAAGCGGAGAAAGGTCTGGGCCAGCACCGCTTTGTACATCGCAACACTCAAATGGCAAGTCCCAAGGTGTACCAAAGCTTTTATTGTATCGAAGCGTTCGCATATCACTTGTACCCATGTCTAAGGTGACGGAGGTGCAGCTTGGATGAGATGACTTACACAACCCACCGTATTTTCAGAGTATCCCCTTCCATATCAGTTTACAGCAGAACTGTTGATCCGAACTGGAAACCTCCTGTGGCATTTTCGACAGCGCGTTGGTCGAGCAGAGCCATTGATGGTGGCCACAAAGAAGATCCGGCACTTTCGCATCCACGTAACTCAGGCAATAGAAACAACCGTTCCTCCAAGTCCCGGCTTGCCCAGTTTGATGACCCCCAAAACTGCCAGTTTCCAGAGCCAAGACTTCCTGCAACGTGAAGCCGCACCGCCCAGAGAAAAAAATCCATGAGGCAACTCGGGAGGCATATCGAATTTCATAAATGCGTAAAAGGTCGAGTAGGGCCGATAGAGACGAAGAAGTTGTATTGCCTATTTCACACGGTCTTTGACGGACACTGATACAAAGGGGACCTCGCTTGCAAGTCTAACGGATAGTGTACTTAAGCCTTGGCAGAGGCAACGATCTCTGTATATGCATGTCAGTATGTTTTCAATGAATTTCCACATGTTCGGGGATGTGAGAAAAACGTACTCTCAACGTCAGCAACGGACTGGTCAAGGATCTGCTTGAGGACCTTGGGGTTCTCGAGCTCCTTCTGGACCTTGGCGATAACGCTCTGGGCGAGCTCCTTCTGCTGGCGCTGCTTGACCTGGCCCTCGTAGCGGACCCAGGAGTCGAGGACAGTCTTGGCCTCGGCGGCGAGAGCGGTGCGCTGCTCGAGCTCATAGGCCTCAGCCTCAAGCTTGGCGGTTTCCTATTAAAGGCCATGTCAGCCTCTTTTCTTTTGCCATGGTTCCCCCATCCACCCTTATATCCTATGGCGTCCTCCTATCCATCTGCAAAACCCCCTGCATCATACGGGGTCCCAATCCCCAACTCCGAATTCCCATCCTGGTAGCGCCTACCTTGGAAACAGCAAAGAGAGTCTTGGTGTAGTCGATGACACTAGACATCTGCTGGACGTCCTGGATACGGGTCTTGACGGCCTGAGTGTGGTCGGCACGGGCAGAGTTCAAGATGTTCTTGATCTTGTCGGACTGCTCATCGGCCCACTTCTTGTAGAGGGGACCACCGAACTTGATGAGACCACCCCAGACGGAGAGCAAGCAGAAGGCGACGACGGTCTCCTCGTTCATGACATAGTACTCGTTGGAGATGGCGTAGATGGAGAGACCGGCGGCGGAGGAGAGGATGGCGGTCTTGGACATGAGGTTGCTGCCGGGAAGGGAGTCGATGATGGACTGGGCCTTGGTCTTGGGGTCCTCGGCGGGGAGGCCGGACGAGTAGCGGGGGCTAGCGACGGTGCTGAGCGCGGGGAGGACGCGGGGGACGACGCTGGGCCGGAGGCGGGCAGCCCCTAAGGAATTGGATGCGCCCGGGTCAGCGACTGTCTCTGGGTTGTCTTTGCGCCCGACATGGCCGTCCGAGAGCTCAATCTACTCACCGACAGCAGTTCTGGCCAGACGCGACGCCATTGTGGATGAGGGGATGGACGTGGGGTGGCTGTTAGTGACGTTGCTGAGCAGCTTCAAGGTCGAATTGAGGTTTTAACGGAACGGGTTGACCCGGCACTTTACCGGAGTACCTGGATGTCACGTGGATCGATCTCGAGCCTGAGAGCTTCGTTCAGCAAAGACGCTGGAAAAGTTTCAATCAGCGCCAGTCGAAGAGCGGGAAAAAGGCCCCACCTTGGCGCCAAGAAGTCTTCAATGTCACCTCCAGCTCGCGACTGCCAAAGAAGGACTTTGACATTGGAGACGCCCCACTTAAATTTTGCTTGAGAACGACGGCCCTTTCCTTCCTCGAGTCGTCGACTTGCTCATTTTCTGGTCCATTCAACCACACATTGTCGCCAAAATGCCTTCAACAGTACAAGACAAGGCCGTAAAGTCGTTCATCAAGCGCAAACGCTCCGAAAGCGGCGAACCCATCAAGAAGCGCAAAAAGTCCGAGGCCGGCGACGAGAAGGAAGACATCGCATCGCAAATCCAGAACCTCGAATCCCAAATCAACGAGTCCAGGAAGCACTACAACAACATCGCTACCCTTATCGAATATGCCGAGAAGCAGAATGAAGACCCCAAGACCGCCATTTCCGCCGCCGAGGCTCTGTGCCGCGTGTTTGTCCGTCTTCTCGCCTCGGGCAGTTTGGTGAAGAAAAAGGATGCTTCGGAGAAGGACGCCACTGTCGCAAAATGGCTTCGGGATCGCCTGACGGACCACCACAAGGCTCTTGTCGCCATGTTCAAGAGTACCATGCATGCTACCCAGGCTCTTGTTTTGGCCATGGCTTTGTTGAAGGCGGAGGCCCAGTACCTGGAGGGCAAGGACGAGGCCGTCTTCCCGTGGCCTCTCTTCAATGCCATCATCAGTGCGCTCCTCACGTCACCGGTTGAGGAGGTGCGTGATGAGTTCTGCGACAAGTTTATCGACGAGTACGATGACATCAGGTTTTACACTTTCGAGGGAATTAAGTACGTGGCATCAGTTGGACCCGAATTACCCATTGTAGCAAGTTGCTAACAAATTTGTGTAGGGACTTCCTCACAGAACGCCAGTCGGTCGATGAAGAGCTACAAAACACCGTTTTCGATTTCCTCCTCAAGATGGAGGATGTTCCAGAGTCATCCGAAGACCTCGAGGACTTCTACATCGAGCAACCCAGCAAGAAGAAGCACCCACTACGATCTCTGTCACAGCATAAGAAGAGGGCACAGGAAGCCTGGCTGGCTCTATTCAACCTGGGTCTGAGCAAGGAGCAGAGAAAGAAGGTTTTGGACGTCATGGCATCCTCGATTGCCCCATGGTTCATCAAGCCCGAGCTCCTCATGGACTTCCTTACTGACTGCTACAACACTGGCGGCTCCATCTCCCTCCTGGCCCTCTCGGGTGTTTTCTACCTGATCCAGGAACGCAACCTCGACTACCCATCTTTCTACCAGAAGCTTTATTCCCTGCTGGATACCGACATTCTCCACTCCAAGTATCGCTCACGCTTCTTCCGCCTCCTCGACACCTTCCTGGGCTCCTCCCATTTGCCCGCTGTCCTGGTGGCAAGCTTTATCAAGCGTCTGGCCCGTCTCGCCCTCAACGCACCACCAAGCGCCATTGTTGTCATTGTTCCATGGTTCTACAACCTTTTCAAGAAGCATCCTCTGACTACATTCATGATGCACCGTGTGCCGCGCACTAAGGAGGAAAAGGATTTGATCGAGACAGAAGGTGTTCTTGACCCTTTCCTCCCTGATGAGCAGGATCCTATGGAGACACACGCTATTGACAGTTGTCTGTGGGAGATTGTCCAGTTGCAGTCGCATTACCATCCCAACGTTGCAACTATCGCCAAGATCATCTCTGAGCAGTTCACAAAACAGTCTTACAACCTGGAGGATTTCCTGGACCACTCTTATGGCAGTGTAAGTGAACCACTATTGATCGTATAATACAGCACATGGCTAACATGAACCCACAGCTTATCGACGCGGAGATGTCCAAGGAAGTCAAGAAGGCTCCGGTCATCGAGTTTATGATCCCAAAGCATATCTTCACCAAGGCCGATCCCGGCACAGAGCAGATCGACAGCCCGCTAGTCAGTCTATGGGATTTTGGTTCCTCGTAATCCATCCGTCTTTCAGATGTCGCACCCATAGTCTACGACTCCCCTACCCAGTCGCAGCCCGGATCGTCCACGTTGAGCATTCCGCATGTCAGTGACAGCCTCTGCCTCCCACCGTTATTCTCAACACAGCACGTGGTAAACACATAAGGTTTCGGAAGCCAGTGGCCCTCTGCCAGAACGCGCGCGAACAAGGTTCAAATGCTCTCATCCGAAACACTGCCAGGGTCTACCCCGGACCTGGTTACCAGAGCCACAAGATCGCCATCGAGGTGGTTGCGGAGAAAAGATGAGGGCCGAATATAGAAAGATTGCGGCGATCATCGAGAAAAATACTCTTGGTTACCTCGATTGCGCTTCTATCCACAACCGTGAACCCTAGGGACTTTTCCCTCTTCCCGCCCCCAAGTCGCACGCTCAACCACCCAGATTTCGCCCTCTTCCGCCTTCCTTCCCCCCTTTCGTGGTACCAGCGGCCGGTTGCTCGGCGGGAACTCTCTTGTTCTGTGGTGTTTCTGTGGGACGTCATACATGGTCACCGTCATACTTGATCACAACACCAGGCCAGGCAGGGCGCCGATGAGGACAGGACAGAACAGAACAAAACAGAACAGGACAGGACAGGACAAGAGAGGTGGTAGCATGGTCTGTCTCATTTGTGTGCTCTGGTTCGTGAATGACCCCATACTTTTTCAGGATGGGGAGGGGCCCATGGGGCTGCTGACTGGCTCGGCTCACTTCTTTCTATTTCTTTGGCATCCTCCGGGGCTTCCTTTCCAGCTTCGTGCCATGCTTATACCCACCATACCGGATAGTGTTTTTGGATCACATGGACTAGAGGTGTCAAATCATGATAGATACTAGAACTAAATCCACGAATGAGCAAACAAACCTCCAGTGGCGATTGAGGGAATGGCCTGGCCGGCTGGTTGGCTTCGTTGTGACCGGTGAGCTGGACTTCTTGTCTTAAGAGTGAAGCGAAATCGGAAGACTATCCATCACGTCCGTTCGCTTCCGTTGGTTAGTTCTTTTTGTGCGGACCTCCGTTATGTCTGTGAATCTGTGTCTCTACGTCTGTGTTGCCAGTGACAGGCAGAGGCAATGACCGGGTGACAGAACAGATACCTACCATACAACATGTTTTCCAGACCCCTAGGTATGTAGCCAAAATCCAGTAACACCCCTTCCTACATACCTAGCTAGTACTTTCTCTTGAAGAAACTCCGGAATCATATCAGTATACACATATACACTACGTGGTACTCCGATCAAGGGTCCTGTGGCAAAAAAACCCTTGAAGCAAATAGCAGTGTAAGAGCGAAGGTATGAGATGACTGGCCTGGCGTGGTCTGGCCTCCACAGTGCCTCCATTCAGGCTCAGGGTCCGCTTGGCAAAAGATCCTCCCCCTTTTCTGCTCCCTAGCAGGACTGCAGTTCTAGTATGTACACTATGCTAGTGGGCAAGACGTATCGAATTATTTGAGAGCTATTTAAATTTGTCAGATCGTCAAAAGATCTATGCCTTCGTACCCAAAATTGCGCCGGCGCTTACTCCAGGCTTCGTGTCCGGGCTCATCTGTCCGGAGCTTTCGTCCGCCGATCAGAATACATTGGCAGACCTGGTTGGTCGATTCGGCATAGGTAGGGAAGGTAGTTACATTTACTTTGGTAGACACCCACGATACCTGTCTGTACATGCTCCTCTGTATGAGCCGCTACCTTCCTCTGGCTCCCTACACTCCTTATGGTAGTGCTAATGTACACTACGCCTTTCTTTGCTTCTGTTGCCTCTGTCAGACGGATGTGGACATACACTAGAAAATACAAGACATAGTCCTACAGCGTCTGGACTGGTTATGTACGGACCCCTGTGTACCTATTCAGATAATGGCTGCCCGGTTGACAGGACTTCGTGCTTACCTTACGGGGGTGATTTCGTTCAAACACCGGACCTGGACATCTTCTTTCTTCGTTTCGGGAATTAGTCCAGCGCTATAGCACTTACTCTGCTTTTATTAGCTGGGATGGTTGATGAAAATTGGGTACCTACCACGCTGGTGGCCTATAGTACCTTCCATGTCTGTCTGATTATCAAAGTTCTAGGTTCTAAGGAAGAAGCGACCTGAACCTGTCCTTTCTTGAGCAGGTGAAAGAAAGACTGACGGCGTTCGTTCCGAATTTTGGGTCCATATCTATTACCCCATGGGTTTCCACCCCCCTCCAATCTTCTACACCTACCTACACGTACATTGCTTTGTGTGGGTCATAGAATGTAGGTTTGTACACTTTTGATATCCCATCCATGAATCCATTCCGTTGATATCCCAGACATCCATTCAATCCAGTCCAAATCCACTTTAGTTCGTCAGACTTTCGGTCAGGGTTTTTGATCTACACACGTACATAGGGAGCTACAGATCTCAACGCTGATCGATCTACTAGTTCTAGTGGGTGGTATCGTATATAAATTGCGTTTGATCATCAATTCGCAACATGATGTATCTGTTCCGCGCGGAAGCATATTTATCGAAGGTTGATACTGACCTTGCTTGGCGAAAAGGAGCCGCAAGTCACAACGGCCAAAAACAGTGATGTCGTCAATAGCTCCATGGATTTTACTCCCGATACTTTACTTTTGTTCTCTTGAACCGACATGATCCGATCTAGAGCTGGTATATCCCTTGATCGTCTCTTGGCTCCTCCGTTTGTGTCATCCAGTAGATGGGCTTTCTCCTACCTACCAATCACTGACTCACCTCACTTTGTTGGGTGAGTTTGTCTACCCAGACTAGCCTACAAAGTCCCTACATACATTAGAAGTCTTAGGTTATTGCTCACTCTAGCGTAGAACAAAATTCTGTTAATGGATGTCCGCTCCGTACACTGCGGGACTCGGACAGTGAGTACATTAGGTCTTGTTTCATAATTGAGCTCATCGGCACCACAGGATATTTAAGTACACTAGAGTGTATGGTACCTGGCACCATCTTTACTTACCTACCTAGAGGTAGTCTTGTTCGGCTTGCTTACCTTACCCAAGGTGAGTTCAGATGCGATGTTTCTTTCTTATAATCTTGTAAGGTATATCGGTCAATTAGCAGTTCGACTTTCTGATCATGAGTCCTTACAGAAACATTATCATATGATCAGAAGAAAAGAAAAAGACGAGAGTCAACCAAGAAGAACGAGATGTGAACAGAACTGTCTCATCGTAAACCAGAAACAACAAATTGCTTTCCGCTTCCTCTCCCCATAGCCCAAAGGAGCTAGATATTGGTATCGGGCATCTTCAACTGACCTGCTCGAACTTCGAACCTGGCGATAGCCTGAACTTCAACAGGCCCGGAGAAACAAGAAAGCGAAACAAGAGATAATACATGTACCGGGACAAAATAACGGTTTAAAAGATGAATAGGTGGCTAATGCATACCACCCACCATAACAAGAGTAACACTTGAGAGACTCTAATCGGTTTGACAATAATAAAAAATAAGAGCACTAGACTCGTCCCAGAGGAGTGGTTCCAAGACTTCATCTTTGAGTCGATAAAACACAGACCGCCTTTCAAAAGAGCGATCATCTGCTGCTGTCTTTTTTTTGACTCTTGTTCATTGAGGTTAGGATGGATGCTAAATGGGATGCTGGGATGCTGAGGTATGGGATATGGAGTATGGGATGATCATGGGGAGAGTAGGTATGGATGTTTCTGTAATAAGCATGAAAAGGAATTGACGAAAACAAAAGATCCAAACATGGACTTGAAAAACTTCCTTGTACGTTCCGCTCCGTTGATAATCGGCCCCCCTTGTCCATATTCCATGCCCACGTCGTTCCAGTCCGCTGCCCAGGCGTTCGCCCACTGGCCGCCGTTGCCGCCGCCGCCGCCGCCAGGGCCGGGGTCCGGTTGAGGCTTGTTTCGTTTCGTTTCGTTTTGTGTTGTTTCGTCGTTCCGTAGATCGTGCGACCTTGCGAGCGAGCGTGCACCCCGGCCTGCCCCGCGGGATATCCCAACTCGGCCTAGCCCACCTTAGCTTCACCTTGTTCGAACGCGGTTTCCGGTTGCAGCAGTTCCAGACAAGCCTTGTGAGCTGACCTGGCTGGTTGATTGACCTTGTCACATTGCAAGATCGTCAACCAGGTCCAGGGAGCCCGGTTCCGGTAGGATATGGCCCCAGTTCGCCTGAACGGAGCGGAACGCGGACAACGAAATCAGAACCGATCGGGGACCAGGCAAGAAAGCCGGCCGCTCGTTCATTCAGTTCGCTCGGTCGTTCGTCCAACCGTTACCTTGCATACCAAAACCCCTCCTTCTCGAAAAATTGAACGCTACCGTACGGATATAAGACTGAAAAGCTACAAACCAGTGTAGTATAGAGAGAAAAGAAGCAAAAACAAGGATTCAGATCCCAATCACTTCGTTCGGTACCATCCTTTCCTCTTTACATCTCCTTCGTAGGCGCGCACTTGCGTGGGAGATAGACGCCGCAACACACAACCAGGGAGCTAGCTAGGTTCGCTAGGCTCGCCAGACTCACCAGGTAAGGGCTTGTCCTGCTTTGGGTCTAGATCCAAGAACTCACAAGCCCCAAAAGGTTCATGGTTCATGGGTATGCAACACGGGGCCGTTCAAGTGATGTGATGTTTTTCTTGTTGTCGATTCCTCGCTTGGCGGTTGACCTTTTGCGGTGTAGGTATAAGTGAACCATCCAAACGAGGCTCACGTGGTTGAAGAAGAATCATCAAACTCTGCGGAGCTTACTTAATTCTTTGGAGATGTCGAGGTTGCGGCATCCATGACCTCGATCATGATACACGGCAGTAATAGCTTCGTGAATAGTAGAGCCATGAGCAGGAGCGTCATCCCGTATGCAGGTCCGGAATTCTCGGAGCAAGGAAAGGCTTGGAGAGCATCGGAGTTTTTCCTTGGTTTCGTGGAATCGACCTCTCCTGGTGTTCTTTCTCCATTACTGGGTTGCTGTTACGAGAAGGACGGCACGGTGAAC